ATTTCAATTTTCTTCAGTAATTGGAGATTCCGTTTTCCTTTCTCCTTCACTTTACCCCTTCCCTAACAGTTTCCTTTGTATAGCTTTTGATTATGTAGCTATTATCAGAAAAAGAAGTGGCTTGGACACTTTTCTGCACACACTTGAACTAATGTCAGGTCAGTAGCTTTGTATTACTGACTTGACCCCAGTTGAATTCAGGGGGAAAAAAAGGTATTTTTGTCTTATGGGACTATCCGTAGTTGTGTATTTTACTAATTGTGGAACACTGGAAATTGATGATTTTTTGATATATGATGCAAATGACTCCTGTTTGTTTTGAACACCTCCTTATTACAGTATTTTTTCCGTTATAAATTGTATTGAATTGTTCAGCCTCTACTGCTTTTAAGTTGTACCAATAAAACTAGTTATATCTAGTACCCTGCCCTACCCTCTGACACTTCTATTCCTATATCAATGTCATTGTTTAAATTCTCCCTCTAATGTGACTATTTCTTTTATGAGACTGCACTTGTATGTCACTGGTAAGGCATATGCTAATGATAATCCTGCATCCATTGCTTAATTGTGGACATGCCTAATTTCTTGTCAACAAAAGTGTAATAGCTTTTTGACACAAAGAATAAGGAACATTTAGATTTACGAAGTTGCAAAGAAGAGTGAATGTATTAGACTTTTGTAAACTTAAGAAGGAATATTTCGACTCCATCTCATGAAAAAGGGCTATGTACTATATAGAACAATAAATGTCTTTTGGTGTGGGAGCTAATTGACAGTCTTGATATGTTTGTAGGCAGGAGGATCTGTTACTCCCTTTGTAGGTTGTATGTGAAATCATTTGTGTTGTATTAATGGGGGTGACTTATTTTTTACTTTTTTCAACATACTTGGTTTCTAATAAAATATCCTAGGCTGTAGTGAGCACTGTCTGCTTCTAATTGCCATCGACTCCCTTTTGCTGACACCCTGTTATATACTTTAACCTTTTATTGCTTGATGCTTTTCACAGGAAAATCCTACTACTGTAAGTGGATTAAACTGGGTGCAGTGATAAGGGGCCTGGGTCCACAATACAGGTAGTATATAGCCTGCATCATCTTCTGTACCTGCATGTCTAGAAGTGTTAGAAGACATCAGCATCTACCCCAGGCATTTGAGGTGGATTATGGTGTTTCTGAAATATCGTTGGCTGCTTTACAAGTTGTATTTGGGTGGTGCTGACTACCCTTCGAATTCTCCCTTTTTTGAGGCTGGGCCAATTTTCTTTTCTTGTCCTCTTTTTAAAACTGATGCTTATATTGTGAAAGGATTTGGGACTATGCCTTTTTTCCAATTTGATTTATAACACAGAAACAGGATTCGTTTCCTGAAAACATCATTGGTAGGAGTGCTATATGACAGCTTCTGGAAAATGGTGCACTTTGAATCAGAGACTGATTGCAAGACTCCTTGTTCTTTGTGTGATTGTTTTAAAATGTTGACATTTGTAAAAACACTTTCAGCTCTTCAGATGAAAGGTGCTATTATTATGCCCTTTGTAAATGAAAAATAAAAAGCTTATAGGAAGTTTGTCAAGTAAGTATTTTATTCATTGTATGATTTTTTAGTAGGTGTATATGAAGAAAATGCTTCTGACAGTTGAAAAATGAAACCTGTTTTCATTCTTACCATTCTAGAATCCTAGAATTATAAACCAGTAGAGGTATTAGGTCATCTAATCCAATCCTCTCATTTTACAAATGAAAAAATATACTGTGAAATGAAATGACTTGTCATGGCTAGTAAAGCATGGCAACTGGAATTTGAACCCAGAACTCCTGAATCAGAGTTGAGCCCTTTTGTATTTTATAGTGAGCAGAATTGAACCTACTGTACTTTATTTGGATGATCTAACTCTTACCATGTGGCACTTGCTTACTCCAGTTAGATGGGGCTTTACAAAGCTTTGCTTCCTCAGACCTTCAGGCTTAGCTTGGGGTTATTACTTTGTGTAACATTCTTTTTCTAATCCTCTCAGCCCTGTCAGATGGTTAATAGTCATAATTGTGAACATGTTTTTATAAAGTGCTTTACTCACATTTACCCTTTGAAGTAGGTAATACAAGTAGTTTTACTATTGGACAGATGAAACTGCCTTCCAGGAGAAAGCAGAGATTTGAACCCCCAGCCTTCCCATTCCAAGTTCTTTGCCCTTCCCGCCCCATCACTCCCTTTTTGTAGTTATTGCTATTTTACACATGAGGATACTTGAAGCTTTGAAAGGGGACATGACTTGTTCAAGGCCATAAGGCTAAAATCCATATTCTGTGAATCCACTCCTTACCACCTATGCCATGCTGCCTTATTCATTCTGGATCTATGTGTAACAACAGTACAGTTTGGGGTTTCCCAGGGACTGTTTGAGTATGTTTAGTAGCCAAAGGTCTTGGTTTGAATCTGCTTTTTACAGGAAAAAGTATCAGTTCAAGCAGTTGCTAGATGCTTTAAGGCTATGGGACCATAGGATTTAGAGCTGAAAGAAGACCTTAGAGATATCTAGTGCAACCCCTTCATTAATTGTCTAAGGTCACAGAGGTAGTAAGTTGTATAGCTAGGATTTGAATCCAAGTTCCCTGACTCCAAATCCCCAGTGCTCTTTCCATAATACCATGCTGTTTTCACTGTTTCAGATAAGAGCAGTACTAGAAGTATTAGAAAACCTGACTGAGAAATAGGAATTCAGTTCTTGCTTTTATCTGACTTTCTGGTAGGATAGTGGGAGAATGGGAGGGAGAAGAATAGTAGGCTACAACCTATAAATCTGACACTTTATTATAGAACATTGTAAAAATATTAAGGGACACTGGACTGTTTTCTTCTGAGTTTCAGCTTTTTGAATGAGGGAATGAAATTTATTCTCATGTATAATTAGCAACTCCATTTTAGCAAAATCCTGCAGCTGTTTTAGAAATCTAGCAGTCCCTTTAGCAGTCTAGTTCAGTCCAAAAGTAATCAAGTACCTATTCAATCGATGTGTTTCCTAAGTGCTGCCTACCTCATGCAAGGCCCTGTGCTTGCTTAATGCTGGGGATATTAAAATGGAAGAACTGTACACAGTTCTTTCCCTCAAGAAAATTTTAATTCATAGGTAGTAAGACATTGCACATAGGATGCAAAGAGGAGGGGAGTTTGAGGATTGTGCAAAATCCAAAGAACATTTGGGATCACTTTCAGTGGCAGGTGGGGGTAGTCTATGGGGTCAGTGGTGGCTTCATGAAGGAGGTGGTAGTTGAGCCGACCCTTTGAAGGACAATTAGGATTTAACAGGTAGAGGTGTGGAGAGAGGGTGTTTCAGTTTGGTGGGCAGCTTACAGAAACGCATGAAGTTATGATGAGTCTTATTGGGTTGAACTGGAGAGGTAAGGTGGAGCGAGAGTGTAGATAGCCTTGAATGTAAGGCTAAGGAGCTGGTATTTTATTAGCTGGTAGGGAACCACTAAACCTTTTTGAGTGAGTGAGGAGATTATGAAGGAAGCGATGTGAGGAATGGAATGGGGGAAAAAACTGGGACAGGAGGCTATTGAAATAGTTTTTGAACTATTGGTTGAGACTAGTTGGTCTCTTTGCTCCACATCTGTACTACAAACACTTCATCCCAAAGGATATGTAGGAAAAAGCTTGGGTATGTTGGGTGAAGTCAGACTTTCTATACCTAATTATTTAATCTGAATGGGTTTGACAAATGTTACACCATGAGATTTAGGTGCTTTAGTCCCCCCCCTTCTGTGTTCTGTGGTGATCCTTGGGTCTTTTAGTGGATAGCATTTCCATGTGGGCTCTTAGTATAAGGCAAAACGGTTCATAGGATGATCCAAAATCGAGCGCGTAATTGAAGGAGGGGGTTGGAAGAGGTTTTCATCATTGCACCTTAGATAAGCACAATAGCTCCCATATCCTTTATGTTCTGCCTTTACAAATTTGCTTCCTCACAACCCTCCTGAGGCACACAAAGGCCCATTAAAAATGTAAATTGCTTTGCAAGCCTCAAAACACTATACATGTTATCTTACTATTAATGCAAGTTTTATCCTATTTTATAAGGAAAGAGACTGATGCCCACAGAACTCAACAGAATGGCAAAAAAAGAAAAAAAGAAAAAAAAAAAACAAACCACGAACCCAGTCAGGAGAGGTGGGTTTTAATTCCCGGCCTGTCACAGCCCCACATTGTGTTACCTTGGGCAAGTCCACTAACCTGGACTCGTTTCTTCATCTGCAAAATGAAGATGTCGGACTGGATGATTTCTTAGGAACTTAAGAATTTTGATTGGGGAAGCCACTTGCCCAGGGTCACACGGCTCCTATCAATCAATCAACAATTAAGCACCTACTATTTGCCAGGCTCTGCTCAACTCTGTGTCAGGATTGGACTTGATTTCCCGTTCTGACTCTTTTACCCCTACACTGCTCACCCCCCAGCCCTAGTCCCATCCGCCTTCGCTGGAGGGCAGCAGGAGGCTTGGGTAAGAACTTCACCAGGGTGCACCACCTCTGTGGTGCATAGGGGAGGTGCAGGAAGTTAGGAGATGTAGGCATGGGGGAGGGAGTTGCGCGCAGGTGCCTGGTGCGCTCGTTGCAGTTCCTCTCTGGGGCGCACGATGGCGCTTTAACTCTCTTCGCTCGGACTCGTTTAGCGGTAGCTAAGGCGCCTTTGCCGTCACCTGCAACCTCAACCGAACCGTCTGGACAGGCAAATCCGGAGGGACAGTGGGGCGAGCCACTCAGCAAGCGAGTGGGCTGCCACGCTAGCCACCCAGCCAATCGGAGGCGAAAAGAATAGGCGGAGGGGGCGGATCTACTACAAGTTAGGTTGAGGCGTGGGGTGCTATCTCCCGCCCCTCGGCAGCTACCACCGCCGCAGCTGCTGCCGCTGCCGCCGCCGCCGCCGTCGCCGCCTCCGCCGCCGCCGCCGCCGCCGCCGCCGCCGCCTCAGCCTCGCGAGCGCAGCGGCCGCCGGAGCAGCTCCCGCGGCGGAGCCGGGGCCGGGGACGGATGGTCAGAGGAGGCCGCCAGCAGCAGCCGCGGACCCGCCTGCCCTCCAGGTGAGCTGGGGGCCCGGGCGGGGGGGGGGCGATCAGCCGCGGGGAGGAAGGTCGAGGCCGAGGGGGGCGTGAGGGGCAGCGGCCGGGAGGGCGCCTGGGCCGGGGGGGCGGCGGCGGCATCGGGGGCCGGGGCCGGGGGTCGGCAGCAGGCAGCGGCCGGGAGGGCGCGCTGCCCCCAGCTCCCCCGGGCAGGTCCCCGATGGAGTATTGTGCTCCCTCTGGGCAGCACATTTTGGGAAGGATCGTGACGACCTGGAGAAGGTCCAGAGTAGAGCGGAGAGGATGGCGAGAGCGGCGGGCACCGGCTGTTGGAGCGTCGGTGCGCGGAGGCAGCGCGGGGGACATGGACCTGCCGCCTCGGAGGCTCGGGGGGCTGTCCGGGACTACCAGGACGAGCAGAAGGGGGGCTCAGACTTGTTCATGTTGGCCCCAAAGGGAGCGATGGGGGAAGTGGCAGAGGTGGAGCGGTCGGTGAGGAAAGGCTCCTGACCCGGAGAGCTGTCCAGAAGTGCCTCGGGAGGGGAGCGAGTTCTCCATCACCGGAGGTCTTTGAATGGAGGCTGGATGACCACTTGTTAAGGAAGTTGGAGAGCTGGGGGGTTCTCGACCTTTTTTGTGTTGTCGTAGACCCCTTCTCAGAATATTGTTTTTAATTGCGTAAAGTAAGATATTGAGGATGAGAAAGGAGACTAACTGAGATATAATTATCAAATACATATTAAAACAAAACAAGTTTACAGACCCCAGGTCAAGAACTACTGTTGTAGAAGGAATTTCTGCTTTGGTACAGGTTCCATTCAAGTCAACAAGCATGTATTAAATTGGTCACAACATGCCAGTCACTGTGCTAGGCTCTAATGATACAAATGACCAGCCCTTGAACATGCAATTCTCTTCCTAGCTCCCCTGGCTTCCTTCTAGTCTTAGCCAAAATCCAACCTTCCATAAGAATCCTTTCCAGACTCTCCCCTGATGCTAGTGTCTCCCACTGTGATGATTCCCAATTTAACTTGGAAATACCGTGTTTGTGTATAGTTATTTGCATGTTGTCTTCCCAGTTAGACTGTGAGCTCCTTGAGGGCAGGGGCTGTTTTTGTCCTTCTTTGTATTCTCAGCTTTTAGCACAGTCTTAGCACATAGGTGCTTAATAAATAACTTGTTGACTTGCTTTCCCCTGGGTTGGATATACCTTAGATACAATTAGTCTAAAGTAAGTATGTAGACTAGTAAATGCAAAATATATAAAAAGTAAATGCTAAGTTATTTTGATGGGGAAGGGAAAGAACTGTTAACAGATGAGGGAATTATGAAAGGCCTCTTGTAGAGGGTGGCATTTGAGCTGCGGGTTGAGGAAAGCTCAACTCACAGATGGACATGAGATGAGAGCAATTCAGATATAAGAGATACCTTGTGGAAAGGCTCTGAGGTGAAAGATGGAATGTTTTGTATAAGGAACTTTAACTAGGACACTTTGGCTAGAACAGAGAGTATATGAGAGAATAATGTGACATCAATTTATAAAAATAGGATAGAGCCAGGTCATAAAGGGTTTTAAATGCCAAATGGAGGAGTTTGTTTTTTTTCTTAAAGGCACTAGGGAGCCACTAAATTTCATGAGCAGAGGAGTGGCATGGTCAGACTTGAGTTTTAGGAATATCCATTTGGCAAAGGGTGTGGCAGATTCCTTAACAAAGGGGAGAGATGTAAGCAGAAAGATCAGTTAAGGGGTTACTGTAGTAGTCCATGATGAGGATTTGAATAGAAAAAAGGGGGTGGTTATGAGAGATGTTGTGGAGAGAAAGTCTATGACAGAGGTGGGGAACCTGTGGCCTGGAGGTCATATGTGGCCTTCTAGATCCTTGGGTGTAGCCTTTTGAGTGAGTCCAAGTTTTACAAAACAAATCCTTTTATTAAGGGGATTTATTCTGTAAAGTGTGGATTCAATCAAAGAGCCACACTTGAGGACCTAACGGGCCACATGTGGTCTCAATGCCACAGGTTCCCCACTCGTGGTCTATGAGATTTGGCAACTGATTGCACATGGTGGGGGGTGAGGGAGAGGAAGAATTGGGGATAATTTCTAGGTTGTAAAGTTGGGTGATGGGGTGTATGGTGTTGTCCTTGACAGAAGTAAGGAAGTCAGGAAGAAGGATGGATTGAGGGGAAAAGATAATGAGTTCTACTTCGGTTATGTGGAGTTAGGGTTGCCTTTGAGACATCCAGGTAGAGATGCCCAGCAGGTAGTTGTTGATAGGTACTGGAGCTCAGGAAAGATGAGGACTGGGTATGTAGATTTGGGATCCATATGCATAGAAATAATTGAACTCACTGAGATCATTGAGATCACCAAGAATGAGTACTGCATACAGAGAAGGGAAGGGGGCCCATGACAGAACCCTGGGGTACAGTCACACATAGAGAATAGGACATGGATGATTAAGCAAGGGAAACTGAGACTGAAAGGTCAGAAAGGTAGTAGTAAGAGAAACAAGAGAAGAATGTAATGAAAAGCAGGTATCAAGAATGTAGAGTTTGTACGTAGTAACAGCAACATTGTGTGATGATCAACTGTGATAGACTTAGCTCTTCTCAGCAATACAATGATCCAAGACATCCAAAAGACTCATGATGGAAAATGCTGTCCACATCCAGAGAAAGAACTGTGGAGTATGAATACAGATTAAAACAGACTATTTGTACTTTTTGTTTTTTCTTTCTTGTGGTTTTTCCCTTTTGTTCTGATTCTTCTTTCACAACATGAGTAATGTGGAAATATGATTAATATAATTGTATAATCTATATCAGATTGCTTGCTGTCTTGGAGAGGGGAGAGAAGGGGGCGAGGAAGGAGGGAGAAAAATTTGGAACTCAAAATTTTATAAAAGTGAATGTTGAAAACTATTTTTACATGTAATTGGAAAAAAAGAAAATACTACTAAGTGGAAAAAAAAGAATATGGAGTTTGCCAATAGTGTTAAATGCCATAGTGGGGCCAAGAAGGATGAAGACTGTTAAAAAGTTATTAGGTTTAGCAGTTAAGAGATTGTTGCTAATCTTGGAGAGAGCAATTTCAGTTGAGTGGGTGATCTGGAGATAGATTGCAAAAAGTTAAGAATTAGGATCATGAGTAAGTGGAGGTAAAGAGTATAGATAGCTTTTTCTAGGAGTTAGGCTGTGAAAAAGGAGGATAGGGAAAGGGAAAAGGATGGATGGTAGGTTGAAGGGATAACAAGGTCAAGTGAAGTTGTTTTTTTGGTTTTGGTTTTTTTTTAATCTAGGATCCCTTAGCATGTCTTTAGGCAGCTGGGAAGGAGTTAGTGGATGAAGAGAGGTTGAAAATTAGAAGGGATCTTTAAGGACTACCCTTCTTCTGTTTCACAGAAGACTAATGGGGATAAGATCAAAGGCAAAAGTAGAAGGATTGGGCTTTGCTAGGAAAAGGACCATTTCTTTCTTACAGACTGGAATAAAGGACAGAAGAATAGGGATGATGATGAAGCAATCTGAGCAGTGGAGTAGGGGAGAAGAGAGAGGTCATGATGAATGACCTTGATTTTTTAAATTTAATTTAATTTTCAGTGAACAAAAATCTTTTTTTCTCTCCATTTTACCTCCCCCTCCCATTGGAAAAAAAGAAAAAGAAAAACAAAATCCTTATTACAAATATGTATAGTCAAGCAAAACAAATTCCAGCATTGATGTCTCAGTTTTCTCTGTAAAATCCTTTGCTGAAAGTAAGTAGGAAAATGGTGGTGTTGGGGACTTGAGCAGAGAAAGTTTAGAATAGATACAATGGGATCCTGCAATAGAGAGTCAATCAGGGAAGAGTAAAAGGATTGCTATGTAGCTGTAAGGGCCCAGGTGAGATGAGATGGCATAAATTTGTGGTGGGCCCAATTAACACAGTTTGGTGACTTCCTCCAGCTGTTTCCAGAGGCATATGAGTAGAAGCAGAGGAGGTGTATGGTGAAGGTAATCCAGGATTAGAATTTGGTAAAGGATGAGCCAAACAAAATAAGGCAAAGGGGCAAAGAGTTAGAGGGTAGGTGCAAAGTTGAATTAGTTAACTACTACATATTAGGATTCTGAAGGGATAAAAGTGAGGCAGGAATAGGGGTGATAGATTGGGAAAGGTTGAAAGTGACTGAAGGTTTCAGTAAGGATGAAAAATAGGTTTAGAAGGGGTGAGGTACAGGGGGAGATGGCAAAATAGGAGGTTATGTTAGGAATTTCAAAGTTCTGGATTTTGGGGGTGGAACATTTGGGGGGTGATAATGAGATTAAGGGTATGACCATCTCTGCATTTCAGCTGTGCTGATGTGAAGAGGCAGCTTCTGTGAATCATGATCTTGATGCATTGGGTATATGAGGGAACATCAACATTTTTTATCAGAAGAGGTTGGAGTACAGAATAAGACCAAACAAGTTGTTGAATTCCTTGAAAAAAAAGGGAGATTGATGTGGAAGTGGGTAGATAATTAGATATAGACTATTCATATTTGGATAATGAGGTTGTTGAGTGATGTTGGCAGGTTGGATTAAAAGATTTCTGAGATTCTGTGATGAAATGATGAGGCAGTGGCTGTGAAAGAGCTGCAAGGTAAGAGGAACTGGGGGGTTGTGATGGAGAAAGTTGGGTTGAGGGTGAGAAGTGGGAGAATAGCTTTGTCAGTAGCTTTGAGGTTCTTAGCTGTGAGAGGAAGGAGAGGGAGGGCATGAGGTTGTGAGGGAATAACCTTTGAGGGACAGTAGGTATGGTTAGCCGTGGATATAAGCAGTTTGACTGAGGGACTTTGGACCCAGAGAACTAAGCTTGAGGGGCATTTGGTATAGAGGGACGTTATTAATAAAGCAGTGGTAATTAGGGACTAGGCTGTTAGGGTCAGTGGGCATGGAGGGGTCAGAATATGAGGGGGTTGGTTGGTTATATGGATAGGCTGAACTGTGAATAACTGTGGGTACTGGCACTGGACTATAAAGAGCAGAAATGACAAGTGGTCTGGATTGTAAAGAGTAGAAGAGTGGGACTAGGTAACCTGGGCTGTGAGAGATAGAGAGTATGGAAGACTGTACTCTAGGGGATATTGGACTCTACTGTCAGTGTAGTGAGCATAGGTGGTTTGGGTTTGGGTTTCTTTGCTTACTTTTTGTCTGGATATCTGAAAGTCAGTGAACTGAAGAGGAGGAAGAAAAAGGGCCCAGATGACTAAAAACTAGAGGATTGTCTGTTGATGGAAAGTTCGTTGTGTTTTATAGATTCCATGAACAGGTCACAGCAACTTTACACAGTCATGAAGGACTGAGCATGAAGTTCATAAGGCCCTTTAGGCATGACTGTGAATGGCAATAGGTATATATGGGGCTGATCTGGTCTGTGGGGGACAGTCTATAGTGGTACCTGGCATGAAGGTTAGTGTGTGGGATTTTAAGTTTGCTCAAGTGATAAAAGTATTTAAGCATTGTGATATGAGCAGGCACTGTATAGGGTACAGTGGTCATAAGGGAGCAATAGTCCTCATTTGGTGTGAATAGTGAATGTGGGACCTTAGCACTCAGGATTTTCCAGGCTGGGGTTATGAAGTGGTTTAGAGAGAATTGGATCTCAAGATGGCAGATTAATTTCTGAATTGATACTAGAAACTCAGGGTCCCCTCCCTCCACCCTGCCCCAGCCCCTTCACTCTCTAATAACTGCTTTATCTATTTGGTCTCTAGACTAACTGGCACAGTGGAGAAACCGCCTCGAAAACGGAAAACCAGGTAAGCTCTGGGTCTTATTTGCTTGTAGTATTTGGCTTCTGAGGCTCAGCCTTGCCTTTTTGCTCTTTTTCAGTCAATGGTATATACACCCTGTCCAAATTCTTCCTTGACTTGTTTAATATGTACACTATAAATACATAAAGCACCTATCTTTTGAGTATTGTCTTTCTCTTAGTGTAAACTTTTGCTTATCTGGGACAGTGTAGGTCATGGATAATTGAAATCCATTAATATTCCTAAATTCTTATTTTAGCCTGTAATTTTTTTTGCTCAATATTAATTTTTTTCATTCAATTAAAGTCTGCCTTCTTTCCTTCTCACATTCTTCCCCCACTGAGAAAGCAAGAAAAACAAAACCCCTATTATAGACACATATAGTCCAGCAAAACAAATTTCAAAGTTGGTCATGTCCAAAACAAAATGTCTCATTATGCACCCTGAATCCATCCCCCTTGTTCTCTGAAGGTAGGTGGTATGAGTCCTCTGGGATCATTAACTTGTAATTTAAATTTTTTTTAAAGTGTTACTAGGTTTTTGTTTTTACGTCATCTATATTCCCCACTTTATTCTTCCCTCTCAGAAGGCTATGCCTCATAATAAAGAAAGAAGAAAAGAGGAAGAAAGAAAAAAATTAACTAATATATGGGAAAAGTCTATTATATGCAGTGTACCACACACATGATCCCTCATCTCTGCAAAAAAGTTAAGGAAGTGTCTTATATCTGTTCTTTGGGGCTGAGTTTGATTGTTACCATTTTACAATTTTCAGTTTTGATTGTTTCATTGTTGTTCTTTCTGTTTACATTGTTATAATTGTTATCTATGTTGTTTTTCTAGTTCTTTTTATTTTCCCTTTGTATCAGTTCATGTAAGTATTTTTATGCTTCTGTATTCATCATGTTCATTGTTTCTTACAGTGCAATAATATTCCACTATATTCATGTACCACAATTTATTTAACTATTGTATCTACTTTGTTTCTAGTTCTTTGCTATTACAAGAAGTGGTTTATAATTTTACCTTCTTTCCTGCAACTCTTTTATTAGAACTTTTAGCAAGTTTATTATTTTATTATTAAAGTCATTGCCTTTTTTGACTTACTCGTTGAAATAAGCAATGAAGTATCTAAAATATAGGGAACTGGAGAGGAGAAGCAGAAGAGTTTGATAACCCACAGATTAGAGAATTGTCCCTTGAATCCTGAAAGTTAAAGTTGCCCTTTAAATATACCACTAAGACACTTCAGCAACTCTGTAGTTATGTAGTTATTTTAAATGGAGGCCCAGAAATAAATCATTTAGAGTGAAATAGTCAATCTGTAACTATTGCCATGAATATGCTTATTAAATGATTGGAATTATTTTGAATAAACCTCATAGGTGGCCATTTTATTGATAAACTATTAATGATAGAAAAGAAAATGGCCAGCCACTTTTCTAACTCCTTACAATGGCAAAATATTATTAGTAATGGATGAAGCTTTGCTGTCAATATACTAGTGGGCTATACCACTTGTAGAGTAATACATTTTTGGAGGTAAATGTAAAAGTTTATATATGATGTAGAGACCTCAGGCCATTAGTTCCAGCTGCCTCATAGCTGAGAAAACTGAGGCCCAGAGAAGTTTGTAACTTGCCAACATGGGTAGTAAGCTTCAGAGATAGTTTTGTCTAATATATATAATGTATGTATTTATGTGTATAATTACATACATATATATCTGTTTGCATCTTTATTTCTCTGTCTCTCTCTATCTCTCCCTCTCCCCACCTTTATCCCCCGCCAAGGCCTTCTGATAATATTTTGGACATGACTGTTAGTTCTTAAAAGGTCTTGGAGCCTTGAAGGCTCTGGTAGGTCCTACCAAAATGGATAAGTTTCAAGTATAGCCTTGGCCCTGTTTCTTATGCAAGGAACAGCCTGGCTTCTTTCAGGTAACCTTATTTCTAGAAGGTTAGTCAATAGATGGTGAGTATAGCAGCTCATAAAGAATATCTTTTCATGGGACAGCTAGGTGGTAGAGTGGACGTAGTACAGGGCCTAGTGTGAGAAAGACCTGAGTTTAAATCCAGCTTCTGACACTTATTAGCTGGGTGACCCTAGACGAGTCACTTAACCTTTGTTTATCTTAGTTTATTCTTCTATAAAAGGGGGTTAATATTAGCACCCTACCTCCCAGGGTTGTTGTGAGGATCAAATGAAAGAATATTTGTAAAGCACTTAGCACAGTGCCTGGCACATAGTAAGTGTTAATATAAATGTTAGCTATTATTATTAATTATCATAATCATCTCTTGGTTTACTTAGTTGTGATGTATATTGATGATGGGAGTAGCTGCATTGAAGAAATCATGTATCTCTTGAAATATTAGCCTAGGTAATGAAATTAATAAAATTCATCATTCTCTTGCTTTATTTTTTTCTGGCGCAAATAAAAAACAATCTGAGTGTGTAGTGGCAATAGATTAAGGGTACATTATAGAGCCTTTAAAAATTTATTGATTCTTTTTAAATATTGTTGTCATTTCCACCAGATGACCCTCACTTGTAACAAAAAGTACTGTTAAGCCAAATAAAAATGATAAAAATAAAATTGCCTTGCAAATCTTAATATGCTATAGAAATATTATTATTATTATTAATATTAGTATTTGACAACATGTGCTCTCGCATATACATCTATAATTCACCATCTCTCTACTGAGAACATGGAGGTATAGTTCACCATCAGTCTCTTGGTAACTGCATTGATCTGAGTGCAGTTGTTTTTTAGTGTTGTTTTGCTGTGCATTACTGTGGTCACTGAATATGTTGTTGTTTTGTTCCTTCTTATTTCATTATACATTAATTCATATGAGTCTTCTCTGGTGGTTCTTTTTTTTTGGCTAGGCAGTGGGGTTAAGTGACTTGCCCAGGGTCACACAGCTAGTAAGTGTTATGTGTCTGAGGCTGAATTTGAACTCAGGTCCTCCTGACTCCAGGGCCAGTGCTCTATCCACTGCGCCACCTAGCTGCCTCTGTGGTGGTTCTTAATGCTGTGACCATGATATATTAATTGTGCTAGTAATCTGGGCTGATGCTAAGGCCCTTGTTCTATGGGTGCTTTTAGGGAAAGATGTCCAAAACAAGGAAATTCTTTCTTGCTTTTCAATAACAACTACCATCAGTAATGACTGTGTAGGAAGGGAGTAAGTTTTTTCTTAATCTATTGGAGACATACTGGTTGTTATATATACTAATAAAGATTTTCTTCATACTGGAGGGTTTGGGTTTTGTTTTTGGTTTTTTTGGTTATAATCTTAAAACACAAGAGATTCAGGCATTATAATCATTTCAGGAGATGGAATATGTGCTTTTGTTATGCCATGTAAAGCAGAATAAATTGACTTCTCTCCAAGGTAGCTGTTGGCTATTACCTCTTTTTCCTGAAGCACTTACTTCAGTAAGTCATCAGCATATGCAGTCTGGATCCCTTGAGACTAGGGCTATGTGCTACACAATGAGGAACGGAGAGAATCTGTTTGCTGCTCCATAGGAAAATGGGAGAAATTTGTCAGTCTAGCCAAAGAAAGGAAAACAATGTGGATTTGTCTTCCACATCCCAGAATTTCTTTTACTGATTTAGCTTCTATTTTTAAGAATAGTTTTATATGACATTGTAACTTACTGAATATTGAAGATGTACAGGTAGACAAAGAAGCCTAGTTTAAATTCAATTATGGTTTTCTGTTAAAAAACAAACAAACCCCAAAACACAGCAGTGTAGTGTTGATGTGAGTCCTTGGGTATTAGACTGGGAGTCATGAAGATGTGCATTCAGATCCTTTCTCTGACACTTAGGAGCTCTGTGAGCAGAGGCACCCACTCTACTTCTTAGAACCTTAGTTTCTTTGTCCACAAAGTAGGCTTATTTATAGTCAACTTATACTTATATAGTACTTGTGTCATAGGGTTGTTCTGAGGAGCAAATGGGGGTATGTAAAGTGCTTTGAAAACTTTAAACCCTTTATAAATGCAAGTTTGGTGTGCAGATTGACTGAGACAAATTAAAGTTTATTGACTTTTGAGTTTTAAATTTTAACATTGGTAACCTTACATTTTTGTACATCTTCAAAACATCTTTTAATATGAATTATATCCTTTCACTGTAATCATTTGTTTTACACAATTTATTTAGTTCACAAAATTTTTTGACATATTTTTAAGTTCTTTATCGTTGTACTTAACTTCTGTCACATTGGATACTAAGTGTTCCTTTAAAAGAGAGTGCATTTTTTCTAGACCTAGCCTTGATTATAATCCATAGGTTTTTAACAGGCTTTAAACAAGGTGACTTTACAGGCCAATGAATCATGTTTAATTTCCATTTCCTCTAAGGCTTGCCTAACTTTTCCTAAAGTATGGCATGGTGCAGTAGGGTGTTGTTATATCCCATCTCCATTTGAAAATTTTTGTAATTCCAAGACAGTTACGCATCTGTGTATTTAATGGAGTTAATCATTCCCACAAGGGGGACAAGACTTCCAGGTCCACTTTAATTCTCACATTATTTTGATGGATATTTTACAGTCTGATGAAGATGCCTATGTCTTCTAGGCTTGCTTGGAATTCTGACAACAATTTTGGTATCTATAAACTTGAATGGAAAAGTGAATTTTGTTACTTGATTAAAATAATATAAGTAAAGTTGTCTGTAAACCCTGAAGCTGCATTTAATAATTAGCTATTTTCAGTTAAAATTATCTTTTTCTATTCTTTAGTGTTTTGTTTCTGTATTATCTTGTCCATGACAAGCATTTTTTCTTTATAGCAAGTTAGATTTTCCTCCCCTCCCTCCCATTTTTCCCTGTGTGCCACTGTAGAGAAATCAACTTTTCCCCAGCTACCTGGTCCTTCAGCAAATGTTAGCTTATTTTCTGGTGGTTAGTTAGGCTGTTTTGCAGCAATAGTTTCAGTTCTTGGAATTGGTCTTTTTATTTTGACCTCATTTTCCTTTTGAC